TTCTGTCCCCTTGAGAGGGCTTCCTCCCACCCCCGGGCCAACTCCTCATCTCAGCTGCTTCTGAGAGCAGGATGTTTACTGCCTGTGCTCAGCCTCGCACGCACAGTCCTCCCAGCCGGGCCTCCACAGCATTCTCTCCACTCTGGAGCAGCGGCTCGACACAGGGTCGCTGAGCCTAAGGGACTTCCCCTGCTGCTCTTCAAAGCACTTTCACACCTGGTTTGGAGCTTCACAAACTGCCGGGAGCCTTCTGGAGACATCCAGAGCCTCTGTTGCCTGTCTCTCTGGGGGCGGGGATGAGAGCTGGGGTACCTTGACACCCCAAGGCCCATGCTTTCCCAGGCCGTAGGGTTACACAGCCACTCATTATGGTCTTAACACAATGAGATCAGTTCTAGAATTAAGGTGCTGATAAAGAAAAGGGCAGACAGACACTACACTCACTTTGACTGGGAAGATGGCGGGGGGGGGGGGCAGTACCAGGAAAGCTACAAGGGAAGTCGGCATTGGGACAGGTTCTAAAGATACAAAACAACTAGCTGGATGCTGGTGGCTCATTCCTGTTGTCCTAGCTACTTAGGAGACTGAGATTGGAGGATCCTGGTTTGAAGTCAGCCCGGGCAGGAAAGTTCCTGAGACTCTTATCTGTAATCAACCAGCAAAAAGCTGGAAGTTGGTAGGGAATGAGCCTCCAGTAAACGAAGCTGGGGGCAGCGTGCAGGGCCAGCACACACAGAAGCAAAAGATAGGCAGGATCTGGCTGCGCCCCGTGAGTGGAGGATGGAGGTGGGCAGAGGTACACAGGTACACAGAAGGCCTGGCCCATTCTGCAGGGGCAAAGTGGGGGAGGGGAGCCACGGTGCCCCCCCCCCCCCCACGGATTGTGTGCAACCCTGAACACTATGGGACTCTATTGACTCTATTGACTCGTTCTCTATTCACTGCCGGGTCTCACTTGTTCCTATGCAGAAAAGGCGTGGAAGCGGGATCTGTGCAGATTCAAGCCTGCAAGTTTGTAGCTCAGAGGTAACCAGCAGCATCATAGGTTGAATCAGAATCACAGTCCTTAAGGTGGAGAGCCCCGCCCCAACATGTCCCTAGGAGAGTGTGGATCAGAAGTTGGCTTGTAGCTGGGCGCTGGTGGCTCACACCTGTAATCCTAGCTACTCAAGAGGCTGAGAGATCTGAGGGTTGCGGTTCAAAGCCAGTGTGGGCACAAAAGTCTGTGAGATTCTTATCTCCAATGAACCACCAGAAAACCAGGAGTGGTGGTGTGGCTCAAGTGGTAGAGCACTAGCCTTGAGCTGGAGAGCTGAGGGACAGCACCTAGGTCCAGAGTTCAAGCCTCACGAAAGTTGGCTTTGGAGACCTGAGGAGGGAAGAATAGGATGGAGATAAATATTTACAGTATCTTCAGCAGTAGCTGAAGATTTGATTATTATTTGATTATTATTACTACTATTCTTATTGCTGTTGCTGCTGCTGCTGCGACTATTTTGCTAGTACTGAGCTTGAATTCAAGACTTCAACTCCTTTGACTAACAAAAATCACTTTGGTTTGTTTTTCAGGCAGGGTCTTGTGCATTTACCTGAGCTGACCTTGCATAGAGATTCTCTCATCTCTACCTCCTGAAGAGCTGGAATTACAAGCATGAATCACAGCCAGCTTGTTCTTTTTTTTGGGGGGGGTCTGGTTGTGGGGCCTGAACTCTGGGCCTAGGTGCTGTCCCTCAGCTCTTCAGCTCAAGGTTAGCGCTCTACCACTTGAGCCACAGCGCC